CAAAGAAAGCACAGGCTTGCAGCTTTCCACTCCGACACTGCTGTGTGAGCAGACAGTTGCCACCAAAGTGGAGAAAGATACATATAGGTATCTGTATAGAAATATAGCAACATATCTGAATATTTAGGTCTTTGAGGATCACTGCAGGGAACCTGCTATGGAACAAATCCAGACTTGGTCAAATATAGAAGGACAATTTTTGATGTGCCCATGGGGACAAGCAGAAGCCCACACAAAATGATGAGATTATTTGTGAAAGGAATACCCCCAAGAACAGAACATGCAGAATCACAATCAAAATGTACAGATCACGCCTGTGAAGTTTTGGAGGTTTTTCACACTGAAATCTTTAACATAAATTTTCCATTGACCTGGAGAGAAGCCAGCTGAGAATCCCAGATCCAGGTTTCTTTTGAACAGGTCTCAAACAGCCCCTGGCTCCTGATTCCTGAGCACAGGTGCTGACCCTGGTGCAAAGGCAGCTCCACCCATCCTTTAGCTGAGACTCCCAATGACAACAGCAAATTCTGCTGTGCTGTTCTGGACTGGGACCCATTTCATGCAGCTGTGTGACAGCAACATCCTGGATCCACTGCATATCCAGCCAGGACTGAAACAGTGACTCAAAGACAATTAAAATTATTCTCATTCAAAAAAAATTCTGAAATGGACCACAAAGTGTTTTGGAAGAAGGGAGTCAGGGAATGACCTTTTCTCAAAATTTAAGCAAAACATAACTCCTTCTTTCCTGGTCTAAGCCAACCTGTTTTGTTTTGTTTTGTGTTTTAAAGATCTACGCTGACTGAAGTTAAAAATCTTCTCTCCATTCAAAAGAAATCCTGGAAGGCAGCTGGGAAGTTCTGACAAACATGAAATACTCTCCTAAAATACCAAACTAAACAAAAAGGTAAAAAGGGCTAAAGTGGCCTAGACAGCTCAGCATCACTATCTGGGAAATAACTTGGCATCCACAGCTACAACCAAACAGAGAAGATTAGCTTTGTTTGCTACATCAAACATGTCTTTCTTCTTCTCTCTTCAAACATAAATAGTTCCAGGCTCTAAAATAAATTAGCTCAACTTGGGTTATACAAGCTGTTTCATTTTTTTTCTTCAAAAGGGAATATAGATGTTTGTTTAAAAATTGTAAATAAAATATAAACAGAGATTTTTCATTGCATGGTGATCCTTTCCAGTAGGTTGTGATCAGCACTGTGTCCATTTTTCTTCCTTATTCTATACTTTGGGATCACAGCATTATTATGGCTACTTCTGATGAGAAATGGATGAAAAAAAAATCATGCAGTAAGAGGAAGTTTATCTGTACTTATTCACTGTAAAAGCAAAATAATAAGCAGGTTTTAAATCCACAGAAAAAAAAAAGTAAGACAAAATCACTTAACATTACTTCTTATTTTTTTCCTTTGAAAAAACCTGCTCTTTATGTGTATGTGTTGTGGGGAACATGTGAACCCTAGAAAGGCTGATTAGTGAAAAAGAACAGCTCTGAAAAAAAGCTTTGCAGCACTTGCTGCTGGTCCCTAGTGGGATGTTCCTGGGAGCTGAGTGCTGTCTGTCTGGGTTATGCTGCTCTGGGGAATTGTTCATCGAGATGGTTGCACTGGTGTAGCTCTGGGATAACAAAACATCCTGCAGTACCAGAGTGCTGGTACAAGCAGAAAGCTCTCCCTGGCTTCCAACTGTGGCAAGTTGTTTTGTGTGTAAACGTGGAACGTTTTGATTGCGTTTTCAAAGATGTAAAACTAAAGCAGGTCCTAAGTACTTCCACGGTGGGATGTGAGGTTTGGTTCTAGGGCACAATTAGCCAAGGGCAGGGGTTTTTTTTCCTCAATATTACAGTGATGCTTCACATCCTTCCTAAAACTGGCTGGGGTGAGGTGTCTCTGGCTTTGAATCTTTCTCTAGCATGGAGCAGATTATTACGTTTATTATTGATTTATGGCATGCCTGTCTGCTTCCAGCCTCAAAACACTTTACTAAGTTACAATATACTTAGGAATCATTTCATGTCAGCCACCACCACACTGCAGCCTTCTCCAGAGGGAAACTGAAGGGAGCCATTAGGATGGTGCCTGCAACATTAAACAACAATCCAGGAAAGGAAGTAAAGAATACTCTGGCTCCTTAAAGCAATGGCTGAACAGAATGCAGTCACTGAGCTGCCATCCAGCTGGGACACCAAAGTCAATACCCATTCACTGTGTGTGGTTAAAATTAAATCTCCTAATGAAGTGAGATGGTTTTAGTGGTTAGAGAGTGAGTGCAAAGTATTATTCTCCTGTATGATTATTTGTAAGTTATACAGCTAACAAGGGAAAAGATCACACACAGGAAAACAGCAGACAGTTAGGTAATGTTCCAAGCTCAGTTTCTAAAAGGCATTTGGGCAAATAAAGCTTTGGAAAAAATATATTAAAGAAAAAGGAAACAAAAAAGAAAAAAAGAAAGATGACATGGGAAAAATGGAATTGGAAGTTTTTCATTGTTTTTAGGGAATTCCACTAAACTGAACAAAATTGATGTCAGTTTTTATTCCCTATAGTTCAGATCCAGAGAAAAGAACATTGTTAGTTTCTGTTAATGAGTAGGTATTCCCTAAACACTGTTGCAAATGCTCCTGAATTTTAATTTGCTTAGAAAAAGAAATAGTAAAGTATTGAGGGAAAAAACCCAAACACCTTAACAGCCTTTTTTTTTTTTTTTTTGTGTTTTGTTTTGTTTTGTTTTGTTCCTGAATTAGCAAAATGCTTTGATGATTTTCTGGACAGGAGGTTTATATATCTGACTAAAAAGATCCTCACACTGTTATCAAGCTATCAAGCTCTCCTTTCAGGGCTGGTAATTGCTAGCTGGTTCTAATCATTCTTGCAAGTGATCATTTGAAAGGTTCATTTTATGACCCCTCAAAGTAGCACAAAGAATCTCACTCCATAATGTAATAAACAATTCTACAAACAGTGCTTAATTAATTCCTGAAAGTCACCAAAAGGAGCTATTAATGATCTTTCTTTTTATCTAACCGTAAATATGCAAGTCTCCTGGGACAAAGGATTTAAAAAGAATATTCTGGCAAGACTAACTGTCAACTTGATAAAACATAAAATGATCACAAGTGAAGGTAGTTCAGAATACAGGGCAGTGCTACCTGGTCTGATCAGAAAGTTAGGTCAGGTTGGATTAAATTTCTTTGAATGCTGTGTTTATCAAAAACAGGACACCACTGACATGGTACAAACCAGGCTCAGCCCAAATGAATACCCAAGAGATAAGTACTGCAACTTTCAGAAAATTATTTTTTAAAAATAGCTCTGTTTGGTTGTTTTTTTCCAGTGAAAATACCAAGAATCATTATAATTAGGGGGTGGACAATGTTTCAGAGTTATTTAAAATACAACTATTATGAAGAGCAGTCTGATATTTGCAAGAGAACTTTGGTGTTTCAGGAGCCCAAGTATTGTTTTCACAAGTAAATCAGGCAGTGGGAAGCTCTTAAATGAAATTTAGTTTCCTGGCAACACAACCCATTGCTGAAAATTAGATTTAGGCTTCTAAAGGGCTTTGATGTTTTTGAAAATCACACTTCCTGCAGCACTGCACAGCTGACTTGGTGTAATACAGTAATTTTCCTTCTACTGAGGCTATCAGGGCATTATCACTTTGATGGCCTCAGTGGTGTCTGGGAGCTTGGGTTTTTTCATAGAATGTAAAAAACTATTTTGCTGGGCACAGCCAGTGATGAGTGGAATCTGTGACCAGAAGCAGGAGGAGGAAAGAAAGAATGTTCCTTTTCCAAAATAAGCTTCTGTAGTGCTTTGGGAGCTTGTGCTGATGCCAGTGGAGCCTGTGCACTGCATGTCCCACCTTTGGAAGGGCTCCAGGAGCTGCTGGACCCTTGAGGGACAGGGTCTTCCTGAACCTCTCCTGCTGGAACCATCTCTGGGACACACACCCATGGAAACACAAATCAGACTCCCCACCACACAGCCAGGAGGGTTCTGGATGTGAGTATGGAAATTTTAGTTTTAGGCACCTCGGAAAGGAGTTCTCAATGATTAATACAAAGAAACAAACACAGCAGGAAGCATGAAGGGAGAAACTGGGAGAAATAGCTGAGAAGATTTTCAGGCCCCCACTCCTTGACTCCCCTGGGCAGGACCAAGGAGGCTTCAGATCCCCAATCCCTTGGCCCATGGGAGGATTCTTGTTCCCACTGGAAGCTGGAGGCTGTGGATTGCTGTGCTTAATACTGAAGAACTTACTGTTCCAAAGATTGTAGAAAACCTGAAAGTTCCTTTAAACAGGAAATTTTAAAAATTCTCATTTTTGTTCTAATCTTCAATAAAACTTGCTTTTTTTCTTAATGTTGGAATTTCCTGTGGAACAGAAATCCTGTTTTAAAACCATCTCTATTCAACAGGGCTATTCAGATGAAAGCATTTTCTTATTCATTGCACTTTGCAGCTAACTGGTGCCACCCCAAATGTATCACTCTTCCAAGAATGATGTGGCAACCCTGGAATAGCTAATTAATTGGGCTGTATGATGCCTCTGCCAGAAGTTTCAGCTTCCAGAGGCATTCCTTTAAGGAATGGTGGTGTGGGTTTGGCTTTTACAAGGATACACATGGTTTCAGGAGCCCACAGGCACCAAAAGTTAGTTTGTGTTTTGTAACTGCTCATCTCAACCCAGTCATTGAGCCGATGTCTTAACCACAGTGAGTCAAGCAAACTTCTTCAAAGCACTCATGGAGAAAACTTTTCGTTAATTTTTTTTTATTATTATTTTTTTTTAATAAAAATTTTGTCCTTGGGTAATCTTTCAAGAAAATTCCACTTCTATGTCTGTTTACTGGGAAAAGAATTACATTTAAACACTACTTGCATCATAATACAATCTCCTGTAGATAAATACCTTTGCTACTTAGCCCTCAAATTTTTTGTACTTTGTTAAGGGGACTGAAAGATGTCTAAATCCAATACCTTTATACTTGGTCACCACAGCTGAGTTGACACTGAGGGGCTCTTGGAAGGTGACAGTGAGTGATGTACTGCTCGTTACCATGAGACAGACATTGGTTGGCGCCTCGGGGGCTCCTGGGAGAGAAGAGAAAACATCAGCTCTTCAGCACAACAAATCCTATTCAAACAATGTTCCTGTGCCTTCAAAGAACCCACTGAAAATCACCCTGCAATTGTGAGCTTTGGGTTGTAGGTGTTTGTGTTTTCTGCCTTTTGAGCATTTTAATTAGTGCCCCTGCTAACAATATCCTGCAGACACCATTTGTTTCCATCATGTTTTTTGGCTCCTTTTTGGTTAAAAATATCTTCCTGCATATATGTAACCCAATAAAACAGATTCATGCTAATTATGTCAATGAAAAGACCCTATGAATCTCTTTGGGTGAATAGGAGAGAGAAAGGAAAAAACCACAAAGATCTAATGAAACCTTTATGGCTTCACTAACAAACTCAAATTTATCAAAAAACAGAAAATGTTTTTATGTTATTTGAGTTCAAAAATTGCAAATTCCACAATAGTTTCAGTGTAACAGTTCCAAAATACAGCTGTCAATTCTGGCCTAATATTTTTGTTTAAAAAAAGAAAAGGAGGGAAAAAAAAGCTTAATTTGCAGAATTATCAATCAGACTCAATTCAGAAATCAAACACAAAATGCCATGACTTACTGCTGGGATTGATTAAAAAAATCAGTATACTAACTTTCACTACATTTGTATTTCCTGTATTTAGTATCCAAGAGAAGGAGCACTACATGTCTTGAAGAAATAACCTTAGCATACAATAAATTTGAGAAAATTATTTGTAAGTACATTTATATAAAGATAATTGTAAAAATGTTAATAGCAATGATTGTATTTCATCACATAGGCTAGAGCTAAAAGATCCACAAAAAAATTCAGGCCTGTTTAGTCCTTCATTTGGGCCCAAATTCCCATTTAATTTGGATACAGATTCACTTGTACAGCTGTTTAAAGTGACTCAGTTTGTGGCTGTGGTGATGAAATGAATACCAAGATTAAGATTAGTGCTTACCAAAATTAAGGTTAAATTTTTACAGTACTTAAGTGCAAAATGAAATTTCACAGTCTGATCAAGTATTTAGAATGATCCCATTCCAAAATAGTAAGTTCTTTTGAAAAATAATCTAATTACACCAGAGAAAAGGCCAGTGTCCCCATCCCTCTTCCTGCCTATTCATATGTTGTTTTACAGCATCCTGTTTAAAATTCTAAACATGTTAAATGAGATTCAGGAGTAGAGATAAGCAGGGCACAATCATTACATCCTGAACAAAGAATTGGGATGTTGGATGTCTTATTAATGTTATGCAGTCAAAGGAGCTGTCCTTGTTGCTCTCAGATTGTTCTAAACCCATTTCCTTCTCCCTCTTGGAAAGGCCATTTCACCTTTGTGCCTCAGTTTCCCCATGCCAACCCCCTCCTGCTCCACAGCAGTGCTGTGAGAATCAGCATCTTTGGAGAGGGTTCTCAGCTGCAGATTCCTGCCTGGAATTCTGCTGTTTCCCTCTACTTGATGCCTTTTTGTTTTTGCCTTTTTTCCTTTTATATGTTCTCTGTATTCTTCACACACCTATCTGTATCTCTGTAGCCTATTGTGTCAGTAGTTAGTTTTCCCAGTACTTTTCCAGAGCCTTTCCTTAAGCAGAAAGACAAAACAAATTCCAGAGCTCCAAGCCCTGGGAGGTGCAGAGACCCAGCACTATCTTTCTTCTTCCTGAGAACCAAGGTTGAGAACAACACTCCAAGATACATTTTCTTGGACAGAGCACAGCTAGTGCCGATGGGGGAACTCCAGAGGAGGGGCTTGACCTGGGGGGGAATTGCATCACTTGTCCTCTTAATTGGTGCTTTTTATCCATTATGTTAATTTCTTAGAACCTATAAAAATGTATTAATCCCTGTAGGGATGGGCTTTTGTGGACATCGTTCCATAACTGCCCCTAAAGACCTTCAAGTAAAGATCCTCTTCTTTTACCTCCTTACCAAAATTACCTTGAGTTTCATTTCCAGGTTGAGAAAAAGGCAACATACTCACGGGCATGCTCGTAGCCGGCCTTCATGCGCTGGTAGAGCCTGGCCCTCCACTCCCAGCCCTTGAGCTGTTTTTCCCTCTCGGTGCTCTCCATGCCCAGCCCTTCACTCGCTGCTTGCGCAGACAATTCCGCCACTCTCTGTTGGGCCTCCTGCACCAGCGTGCTCAGGTGTGTAGACCTGCTCTCCACGGTCTCAACTTCCACAAAAAGGGGGAAATAGGAAATGCTCAGCAAAATTTTGGCGGTGTTCAAAATATGTTGTCTTAGGTTATGATGTAAACTGTACCCAAAAGTATGTATTCTATCACCATCTTCATAAACTGTTAAAACCAGATGTGGCAGTGTTCTTTATCTCTTCCACCACCCATCCTCCCTCCAGGGGGATATTTTCTGTGAATGAGCCATTGAGTCTCACTGCAGGACTGATAAAATTCCATCATCCCACTGTGGGATGCTCCACCCAGGGGGAGGAGCCAAGCATTCCTACCTGGATATAATCTGAGACTCGGAACACCGCAGTCAGCCTTTCCCCACTGGATTCCCAGAGGAAGACTGGACCCATCTGCATCCCCACTGGGTCTTCAGAGGAAAACTACACCCTTCTACAGGATCATTGCTTCACCAGAAGCACATCTGTCACTCCAGGATTACTGCAGCCACCATTTAATGGGACTGCTACCAACACCCCAACAAAGAGGGTGTCAGGTTGTATTCTGACTCTGGAAATGTTTCTGTATGATTGCATTCATTTTAATTTTCCTATTAAATTGTATTCTGACTTGGGATCTCCCACTGCTTTGCTTTCAAAGAAGTACACACGTGTACTACTATAGAGCACCAAGCCTGACAGGTTTTTGACACCAAAACACCATAGGAGCAAATATATATGTGGATATGAATGTGCTATTTCCAAACTGGGACCATATGGGACAAATTAGATTTGAAAGGACCCTTTCTGGATGATTCCTCTTCAAAACAGGCTCAGACAGGAAGTCAGACTGAGTTACTGAAGGCATTATCCAGTCTGATTTGAAAACTTCCCAGGATGGATGGAGACTGTTCCACAGCTTCACTGTCTCTATAGTGAAAAAGGTGTTTGTTTTATCCAGCCTGAGCCTCTCATTTTAACTTTTGCCTCTGTCTCCTGTAACTGTATGACAGCCAGAGTTTAGCAGGATCTAAGAATAACCCTACTGATGTGAAAAGTGCCCTGGGATCTTTGTAGCCACAGGAGAGCAAAGAATTACTCAACACCTCTGACATCCAAAGGGTTGTTTTTGAAGAATGTTTGTCTCTAAGACTTTGCTTCCAGAAGCTGGCTTGAAGCCATCCTTCTTAAGTTTGATCATTCCTCATATGGACATCAGGGACATATGGCCAGGCTCCCTGGAACCTGCTGGTATCCGCAGAACTGTTGTTTACTGGGAGGCCAGAGGTGATAGGATTTCCTGGATCCATGCCTACAATAAACATGCAACACATCTGATAGCACAACAGGACTGAGGAAGGAGATTTTATGTGCCAGAGCTTCAGGTGGTTGAGAATTGGCATCTTTTCAAGTTCTGACAAAGGATCTGTCTCTATCTGTTTAATCAAGGTTCAGATCCACATTTGTTGAGTCTTGGAAACGTGTCCTATCAGCCAGTAGAAATTTTAATCTTATTTTTATTTGGGTTAACATAAACAAACCAAACCATGAGTATATTTCACCATATACAGTTTCATAATAGCAACTGAAAAGACAAAACTTTGTCTTTTCCCCAGCTAAATTAGTATTTTAAATGCTGTACTCTCCGATCTTAGTTATTTTGTTTTTAAAAGATGTTGGGTTCCTGTTGAGATTTATAAAATCTGAGTTCCATGTGGAAATGAAGATCCTAGTTTTACTATCTATTGCTTTATCTGCTGCTGTTCCAGGCAGAAATCCAGGTGATACAGATGGAAGCTGTCTGTCCTCCAGATCCTCTTTTCTACAGAGTTAGATTAGAAGCTATAATGAGATTTCAGCTGGATGACTACAGCTAATATATGCAGTGGAAGAGAAAAGGTTTTTCCATGAAGGAAGCTTTCTGTGTGCACTTGAAATAAGGAATTCCTCTATTTTGCCTTCTCTCAGCTCGGTGCTGTACCCTTGTAACCACATTAAGAGATGCTGCGTCCAGTCCCAAAAACCAGGTGAGTCAGGATTTTACCCTCCCATTCAGCCTGTGGAAGTGTTGCTCAATTATCCACCAGAGAGAAGCGAAAATACTCCTGCTGGGTGCTGGACCATGTTCCTGCAGCCCTGAGATGATACAAACAGGATTTAACTTGAACAGGGTCAGTTGAGTATGGAAAGCAGAGCAGAAAGTCTGGAGAAAACAGAAAATGACTGCCATCCACAAGTGACTCAGTTCCACAAGGGTGAAGCCATGCACAAAGATGCTGTGAACCTTTGTTTTGAGGGTTGAAAATAACTTTTTGCATTTTGCTCTCAGCCCCTGCAAATCCTTCAGGTAAGAAGCCCAAACAAAAAGATCATTTGCGTTTCACTGAGAATGCTTCATCCGTTATTTCAATCAGAAAAACTAAAAATCAAGATAAGTGAAGTGGAAATTTGGTGGGTATATTTTGAAATGGAAATGAGGTGGTTATATATTCATATTCTCTGTGTTCATAGGCATGTTTGCATTAATTACAGGAAATGAATACTAATTTATGATTGCCCCTGCTTGCCATCAGACTGCATTTATTTACAGATGAGGTCAATGAAAAATTAGTTTAGTCTTTTTTACTGCTGTTTAGAACACTCAAGACTGTGTTTTCCTCTAGATTTGTCATGGTTAATGAATGTTGCTTCAGCAGTCAATCATGTACTCTAAATGCTGTCACACTTTTTTTTAAAGCCTCAGTCATGAACCATGACAGAAAAATAAACAAATAAATATAAAACTAAAAAACTCTTTTCACTGAGCAGCTACACTATGCAAAAATCTCCAGGGAAGGTTAAAGGAGGCCAGAATAAATGATAATATAAGTGCTGTGGATATAGAAAAGCAATAAAGGTGTACCAACACTGAAGGTCTGGCAAAAAAACTCAACATGCACATGCACACACACTCTCCAGTGAAAAAACTGGCAATGTTAGTAGCCTCAAGGTGCAATTTCCTGGAGCACTGAGATTGACACGCCAGCACTAAATGTTGTTAATTTAACTAACTTCAAATTAATGGCAGACTCTGCAGTGGCTGAACCCCTCAAACACAGTCTCATTATAGCCTTGCTGGGAATGTCCTAAATATAGGCATTGACAGCTTAAAACAAATTCTCTTACATCGGGGTATTTTTAGACCCACGTAAGGCGTCAGAGTTTGTGTCATGGTATATGGTTGATTAATTGGGTTGGTAAGTCACTCTCCAACCCACAAACTGGGCATAAAAAGGCCCATGAAGGAATACAAAGAAGTTTTATAACTACAATATGTATTTACAAGCAATATTGGTATTCCAGTAAAGTGAGAAGGTCTGTTTTGTGTTTAGATTTTCTCTGGTTCTGTAGAACTTTGAAATTCTCATTTAAGTGGGATTTTAGGCCATTTGAAGATCTGTAGTAAGGGGTCTGTGGGGAATGGAAGTGATAGATTTCCACACAACTAGCCTCCTGAAGGCAGCATAGCCAAAATCAAAAGGATAATCAAAATAAAGCAAAGTCTAGACAACCCATCATCCTTTCATTTTTGATGACAAACTCTACATTTCAGACCAGGATCTTTGAATCCCTGAGGTTCTGCTGCCATATTTTTAAGGATTTTTTTCTCAAAATTGCTGTTAACCCAGCTGCCCCTGTGTTAATCACATTAGAAGCTCAACCTGATTCATTAGTTGGTGTATCTGAGACACAGAACAAAAAAGATCTACTGAGCACACATCCAATGAGCAGATATTGCTGCAAATATCCTCCAGCACTCTTGTTATAATCATCCTTACAGCAAAACCAGACAATTTTTGTGTGCCCGTTAATTGATTTTCCCTAGCAACAGCAGAATTGATCTCATACAAGCAAGTATCTAAGTCAATTTGTATCCTTTACTTACAGTGTGGGCTTTCCTTTGCCCCAACGTGTAGAAGGGTCCTGGCAATGGGGATGTTGTTTGTCAAAATGGCAATATCCAAAGGAGTGAGTCCCTCGCTGTTTGGTGTGTTCAGGTCCAGTTCCTCCAGGGTGTATTGATAAAGAAGAATCTGAACAGCATCCAGGTCCTGCTGCTCTACGGCCTCAAACATAGCTTCATTGCACTGAAAATTCTGTGTGTCAATAAAGACAGAAACTTGGTAAAACTTTTCATATATTAGTGCTTTAAAAATAGAGAAAATTTGTATTTTGTGAGATCGCTTCTCAAAATAAAATATTGCTCCTTCAGCCCCAAGTTAGGCACAGCTTGAAGCATGGCAAATGTTTGCAGCAGAATTGAGCTTGGTCTGCCCCTGAAGTGCTTGAAATTGCTTCAGGTATGTGGGAAGATTCAAGTGAGATTTAAACCATATGGAACAAACACATCCTTCTTTAGACATCTGCCCTGTAATCAAACTGTATCAGCAACATTTTGTTTGCAGTGTGGAGCTGGATGATACGCTACAGTTTTGGCATAGCCTTGGACTACTGAGTTTTTCAAACTCAAACTTTCAAGAAAACTACAGTCAGGTGATGAAAATCCAAATCAAACAAGCAATTTTGCAGAAATCCCCTCCCAGTTCCTGTGTGAGCCAGCATGTTCATTCTACCACCTCAGTTATTTCTAGGTGCCTGTGTTATTGCATTTAAGTTGTAACTAGAAATAACCTTGAAATTTATAGTCCTTAAAAACAGAAGTAGAAATGTGTCTGAAAAATTGGTCTGCCCAGTGTGCATGTCTGAGCAGCAGCAATCAAACCCAGGAACTTTCATGGCACCAAGTCTGAGGCAGGGAGAACCACTGAACCTTTTCCTCACCAATGTCAAGGAGATAAAAGAATGGCACAACACAAAGGCCCCTGTTGTTTCTTAATTGAGCGGGGGAGAAGCAGGTGCAGGAGAGTAGCAGGGCCTGCAGGTTTCTTTTATGAGAACATCCTTCTGGAGCCTGCAGTAACTCCAAGTTATTTGCCAAGATTCTTTAAATTCTCTCCCAGTGTCCCATTGCCATAAGTACCTGATATGGTTTTTCCCTCTTTGGAATGAATTAGCAGGAGCAGGAGGCCCAGCAAGGCAAGGAGGGCTCAGAGCACAGATTTGGATATGCAGTATAAACCAGCTCCCTGTGTCCCAAAACCACAAGGAGGGAGCACTGAGAAAATTCTCATCACAGAATGCACTCTTTATTCTATGAAATAAATATTGAATTAAAACCATTTTCCACTGTGATTAGAAGTCACTTCAACCACTCTAAAACTTAATTTTCTTTTTTAAATTGATATAGTTTTATTAGGCATATCTGTGTCCGAGTTTGCTCTCGGTGAAACAACACTGACCTGCTGGAACATCTTTTGTCTCCTCATAAAACACATGGACTAGGTTTCCAAGCAGCCCTGGAAACTGCAGTCCCCAGCTTCACCTTGGAAATTGATCAGTTCTCCAGGGGCTTTTCTTAAATGTGCATGAGTTAAAAAGTGTCTTCAGAAATTTTCAGGCCTGACAGGGATCTTCTGGTCTACTCTTTGCACGTGAAATATTAGTACCACACTAAGAAATTGCAAAGGTGATGCTACCTAAAACTTTTGGTACAGACCCAATCTGTGCTGAATACTGGGGATCAGCAGAAGAGGAAGACAAATGTACATAAGATGCCCTTTACCCCAAACTGCCAATATAAAGAAATGGGATACTTATGTTAAGATAATAATCTAAGGATGAGATGAGCTGTGCAGCAATAAAGCAAATTTGGGACAGTAGTTCTGACTTGGGAATCGACCTTGGAGACACTGAAGTACAGAACAGTTCATGTTAGAGAAATATTTTTTCTGTAGGTTTATTTTTTTCTGTAGATTTCCATGCAGAATAAAAGATATGAGTTAATCACCAGTGCTAATGATGGGGCCCTGTCACATTCTTGGGTTTAGACTTTTCTCCAGATGGTAAGATTCAAAAAAAAAGATGGTTTAATTTTATAATCAAATACTTTGACCACACTCCAGGGTTGGTACAAGATAAAAATCTCAGAAAAAAGGATAGTTGAATGGCAAGCAGCTCTAGTTGTCATTTTTTATCAACCCCTCTGTTCAAGATAAAAATTGTTTGTAAGGACATACACTGTTAGTGAGAGCACATGTCCAGAAAACTTTAGAAGACAGCATATATTTCCCTTATTATATGATAAAACTTCAAAAATGTCAGAAATTTTTACTGCAATGCAGGAATATTTCTTATCATTCCAGTAGCTCCACATATCTCCTGTCTTGCTTATGTAAAACATTTATAATCTTGATATCAGAGACCTTACTCTTATTCTGGTGTTTTGCCTGAAGGGATGAAGTGCTCTTGCTAGAAATTAAAAGCATTTTAAGTAATTATAATTACAAAATAATTTAATTATTGGTATGATTCTGATAATTCTGTATGTCTTCAGCTCCACTCAACAATGATATTGATTTAACAGCTGCATGTCACTGTATTGTAACTCAAAATTAACAGAGAGTGCTGGTGTTTGAAGTACAGAGGAAAAAGAAAGCTGTGCTCTTCAATCTATGTAACTTCATTATTAAGATGAAGAATTGTGAACTGATAGGTTTCTTTTTCATAGAAATTATTAGAAATGTAAAATCAGAAAAGCACAGAAAGGTTTGGGCTGGAAGGGACCTTAAAGATCAACTTGTGCCAACAGCCTGCCACAGGGACACCTTCCACTAGAAATACATTCACCAATTCTTATGTATCAGCATTCTAAACAGCATTCATTTCATCACTATTAACATCCATTTCAAGTTCTTTTTCTACTGTTATTGGAACTTTCTCTACAGTGTTCTTTATAGGAATACAGGATAATTATGCTTCAGAATCATCTACATTTTGATCCAATCAGAAAACAAGCTACTCTTGTAACTGATCACAGCTATGAAAATTACTTATTTAGCAGTGAATTAATCAAGAGCATATTACAAAGGGAATTGTTTGAAGGAAATGGAATGACTGCATTAGTCTGTATTTCTTTTAGTTAAGTTTATTTTTGGAAACTGTCTGGGAGCAGAATAAAAAGGTAAAGCTGATGATATCACTGGGTGAAAGGCTGTGGTGCTCACTCAGGACAGGAAGGCAGTTATTTCTCTCTTCACATTTTCCCTTCTGTGGCACTGGGTACACATATGGTTTTCCCTTTTTAAAAAAACAGAATAAGTAATTATCTTTTAATTGGCTTTACATATGTGCACAAAAGTTAAATGAGTTAGCATTTGTAGAGTGTTACCCTAAGTCTCAGTATCATTATTTAGCTTTAATTCCAATTCTGTGACAAACTCAGGAAATCTTGGACTACAACTCCTAAGTTTCTTCCATTATAGAAACAAAAAATTCACTATTACATGATAGTAAAAGAGAGATGGCTAACTTCGCTATTATAGCTGAAATTAACCCAAATAATGGCTGACAAAAGCATTTGGTCCTTTTTAAATATATATATAGACACACACACACACCTAAAACTAAAAAGAGATTTTACCTACCTGTCAGATTGCTGTAGAATTATTTTAAAAACTTTGATTTAAACTGTTGTTTTTTTTTTTTTATTCAGGTATCACGATTTAGACCTGCCAGTGTGCCTTTGAAAATGCATCTTTGGACTTCTGCTTTCCAAATGAAATACCTGTAGTATTTGTGAAATTTTGGCCCTAAGTAAGTTGTTGAGCAGAATCTAAGCACATGTTTAAGTTAATTTGTCATAAATGCTCTTGCCAGCTGATCTGTTGGCAAGAAAGTTTCACTAGAAAGGGAAAAAATAAAAGCAAATTTCTATTTCTTCATTTCATTAGAAAACTGGTTGAAAAAGCTGCACTGATTTAAATGAGAAACAGAGCGTGAATATCATAAGCTACTTCATCCAATCCAAACAATTACAAGACCAAATTGCAAATATCAGGTTTTCCAAATGAGCAATTCAGACACAAGCAATAGACTGAAATCCATCAGCAAGTCCTGTGACTTCAAAGAGTGTAAAATCATGGGAGCTGTGATGAGGCCTTTCTAGCTGGTCATGTGTGCATCCCTCATCCACAGCAGGGCACATCAAACTGTGCTAGACACTCAGAAATCATCCTGGAGAGGCAGCAAAATATCTATCAGCTATCTAATGTCTATCATCACCCATGCTGGTGAACTGCCCCATTTGGAAGTTTGCATCCACCCCAGCTCTCCAAGTCCAGAAAAAAATTCTACACAACTTTTCCCCAACTATTTGCTTTCACACAGAAAACAGAAATATACTTGAAAATTGTACAGTTTGCCGCAAAAAGCTTATCACATTCCATGTAGAAGACTCTCAAGTATTTCAGCATTTGTCAGACATCTGCAGTCCAGGGATCAGAAATCCAAACAGGTATAAAGAGTAATATCTTTAGACCCCAGTGCTCTATTTTAGTCCAGCTGGTATTGTCACAAATACCAACATGAGCCATCATTTACCTTTATTAGATAACTTCTGCTCTGAAAGGACAAAAGAAATTAAATCCAAAGAAAAACTGAATCACATTTAAAAGTGATTGGGTGAAGTTTAGGAGAAGTTTTTGCATTGCCTTTTCCTTGACTCAGTCCTGCAGCCTCTAATCATTAGCTGGACAGCTGTGCTACGTGATTAATTTATTTAGGTGTTACTGTGATGCACAAATGTATATACTGAAAAGAACTACAGTATTGCTTTGCAGTAAGTAATAACCATGTTCCAGTAAGTGATTCAGTGCCAGAGTATTTAGAAATGCAATCTTATGTAGCTTAATTAAAATGAAGTGCCCCTTTCAAGCTATTTGCTCTAAGTTTGACTGAAAAAGTCCACTATGTACTACTGGAGTTGGAAAAAGTGGTAAAGTAGTTTCTGCAAAGACTTGTTTTGATAAACATGAGTTCAAGAATAAAGCTATTTTGGGACATTGCTATGTCTGCAGCAAGACAACAATTTACTGAATGGAAAGTGTTGCACAGCAAGAGAGAGTGGAAAGAAAACTCTTCACTAGCCAAAGCTGAAAGAAAACAAATTCTAACAAATGTTGTTCACTTGTCTGGAGACATGATTTTACTCCTTAACTTAGCTCAGTGGCACAGAAACTCAATGATTAGAAAATACATGAGCTAGCAACCTGACCTGGAATGTTTCCACCCCTTCACTGATGGTTTTCTTGCTGTTTACTTCTAGGGAAAACTGGGAAAACAACAAGCAGAATGGATAGAATGGGATCCAAAACCTCTAGAGTTCAGTGGGAGTCTGTTCAGTGCCTGTTGTGGACACCAGCTCAGACCCCAGACTGGTGACACCTGCAGGTTCCTGTGCTGGGTGTTCTCAGTGACAAAAGCTGTGACACTCCCATGACAATGTAGTGGGCTGGGGGGACAGAGTTAGCACAGGTATGTCTGTGTCCCATTTAATCCCCATCCACACAAAATCAAAGTCTCCTGTTGGTGATGTCTGATGGAATGAGCATTCCCACTGCTGACAGAGTGAAAAGGGACAGATCTGAGGTTGTAATTTATTGCCTCAGGTTTAGCAGAGGACTCGGCCCCCAGCAGCAGTGCCCTGCTCCTCAATCCTTTGGCTCAGCTCACTGGCAATTTCTCTTATTAGTGAAGTATGACAGAAGAGCCCATGTTTGAAGAAATGTGTAATCTGAAGGGTGTATTTAGATAAACACTGCTCAGAAGATATGCTCACAGACTGGCATTCATTCAGCCTACATGTCAGTCTGCTCTGGCATGTTCCCAGTGCTGGTTTATTCTCCTCCTTCACTCCCTCAGTCACACATGAGCTTGTAGTTAAAAAAAAAAAAAGGACAAGATAAGATAGTGGCTAAAAAAAATTAATCTAAAAATTCATAATTTCCCCACTGTTTGAGACCTCAATTCAAATCATCCCCACAAACTGAAAAGCATTTGGAAACCCTCAAAAGTAGAACTGTTGGCTAACATGAAAAGGCTGTTCTCCAGCTCACAAGCCTTGTTTGAATTTCAGGCTTCTCTTATGAAACAAGGATCTACTGGCTCTGGAAGAGGTGAGAGGAAACAGCTATGATCCTCTGCTTCCTTCAGGTCATGGTCTTTCATCATAGGAGAGAGACAACAGTCTCCATTGGTCATGCAAGGGTCCTCTGTCTTCAGGAAAGGATGATCCTAGGTGACAGCATCAGCTAATTGAATTAAAAATAATTTCCAATTCTTGCACTGATATGTCTCTTACATAATGTGTGAGTGTTAAAGGAGTCTAGAGTGTCCTTTTCCCTTCTGACAAAATGTAATTAATATTTTTGTTGTCTGGCACAGTCAGACTCTGAGTTTAGTTCTGCATTGCACTAAACATCTGATTGAGTGCAGCAGAGTGCTGCTTCCAAGGGGCATCTCCTGGTGCATTCACAGACTCCATCATTGGTCTGTGCAAAAGTGAAGACAAACTCAATAATTGAGAGGAGACATTGAAGAATATGTTCTTCCTGCTTAGGAAAAAGTGGAATTTATTTTGTTTTGGCAATATCAGCAAGCATGTTCATCTTCCTCCAGCAAACAGAAAATATTCTGCTGTACACTGAATTTACATTGGGCTGTTATTTCAGGGACAAAGTCCATTCCCAAAAATGTGTGCACTGGGGGTTGTGTGACCTCACCAGCACTGGCAGCAGCAGGAGCCCTTGTGAGGGTAAATTCCAGCAGGTGTTTCTAAATTTTACTGTGCTGGTACCAGAGTGCTCGGATGGGATTTGGTTGGGTACCCATGCCAGACTCCTTCACATGTGATCTCTTTCTTCCACAGTCTTATGTACTGACCATCACCACAGCCTTGCATTTATCTGCCATGCCTGAAAGTTCCATTTGCTCTGACATTTGGAAAAATGGGAACTTCTATTAAAGCCATCCTCACTTTCCTCAAAATACTTTATTATTTTCTTGTAGAGAAATACTCGCATATATAGATTTAACTCACATTTTGTCATGTAAGTGCCAAGCTACAACCTCACTCCTAAAATAAGCATGTTTACTCCTAAAATAATAGATGTAAAATGTAAGCATTTCACACTTGAGTAGGTGTCTTTACCCCTCAGGAAGGTCAGACTCTATTTTGACAAAGCATCATGAGTGCTAATGCTGGGAAGAGCACACCTGCCAGGGAACAAAGCGAGGTGATGAGCACTGTACAGGTGAAAAGGCAGCTGATGAAGGAGATGACCAGGAGGGTGAATTGGCAGTGTGGTGGGGCTCAGGCACTTACCATGGAGGCCTTGCGGAGGCTGAGGCGGTCGGAGCGGGCTCGGAAATAAGCTTCATCGAAGGACGTGTGGCTGCCCTTCAGCTTCTCCGACAGGTTCCTGTACAGCCGCTTGGCAGCGTTGGGGGATGACGGCATGCTCGCCTTTTTGCTCTGCAGGAGGCTCAGGTTGTGCATTTGCTGGGTCATTCTCAGCCAGGGTTTTCTGGAAGGAAAACAGCAGCCATCTAGTGAGGTTTTGCTACACCAACATCACTGATCAGAAGTGTGTCGCTGAAACGCACGGTGCGGCTGAAATCACTTTCACACACAGTTTCTGGACACACAGAGGCATGTTTGGGACTTTCTTGATGGCAAATTGCTCTTTATGGAATTAGACCCATAGATATCTATGGAGACAGAGAATTAAAAATGTAAAAATAAAGCAGACCACCTCAGAATTATTTACTAATTTGTATAAGGAGAAAGGGTTTCAATAAATGAGGGAAACAATGTATTTTTCAGAGTTCTGGCAGTACAGGTGTCAGAAAAAATGACACCCAAAAGTAAATGTTGCTGTGGACAGTTTCATGCTGAATGGCTTCTTCCTCATGTAGTGGGCAGGCACTGGTTGTGTTTACATGTTGTGTTACTTTACTTTGCTCTGTGTTTTTCCTGTCCATTTAGAGTACAAACCCTTCCAAGGCGGACTGCTGCCTCTCTCTGATTGCCCCACCTAACTGGATTTCCATATTATCTCATAATTAAACAATACTTTCTATGCTCTATCATTACAGTAATTTTTCTGTATTAAGAAAAATTGAATTAATATTTAATTCTGGAAGTATGTTATGTGGGAATAATTTTGCCTTTCCAAAGGAAAACTAAGAACCAGATTTGACCCAACTGCAGGCATAGGAAACTGTCCCTATGGATTTCTAACTGAAAAGGTGATAAAAGTGCATCATTTCTTCCCATTTTCCTTTTCCCCTGACAAGAGTGTGTACACATCTGTAAGGCAGGATGCCTCTCTAGGAGAATTCACAGTTGTAACAGTAAACCTGGCTACCCTTTCAGACTATCTTTTCTGGAAATAATTTTTTTTTTTTTTGGTACTATGATAGAAATTCTTTGTTGTTCTCATGGTCTCAGCTTTCTTCTGAGCAAACTGGATGGCAGGACCAGACTTTAATGACTATTTCCAGTAAAAGCATTCTTTACTGAACACTCACCCTGCTGTTGAGGCTGCTTTTGGCAGGTATTTGTCCTTAAGATTAAAGATACCACCCAGGTCTCCTAAGCTTTCTATATCTTCCATTCTCACGGTACACTGTGGTGAGCAGACACCCTGAGCACAAAAATATCTTATTACAAATAATTTCACATGTTCTCCATGCTCCAGGGGAATTGAAGAGACACCAGGTCTCTGAAGGAAGAGTCAACACAATTGTCTTATGGGATGAAAAGACTTTGTTATGTTAGAACAACAGTGTATGCAATCACAAGGGAATTGAAATAAATGTGCAAGTGTGGAGATGATTAGAAGATCTCTGGGATTCAGGAGGCAGCAATACTGCAAGGATTTTTGACTGATTTTCTCTGAGTTTATGGAGTAAACTGATTATCCACCTCCCACTTTTCTATGTTATTAGTAAATAACTAATAAAATAAGTTTTTAAAGAAACTCAGCAAGTTACCCAATGTAATAATAATTTAATTCTCAGTTATTTAGAGAAATGCTTCCAATTTCTGTTAGTACATAGTGCTACAGATTGTCCCACATAAATTTCTCCCTTTCCTTCTGTTTTCAAGAACTTTCTTTTCATCAGCTAAGTATGGGTCAAAACACAGACCCAAAGAGTGAATGGCCAGGGAGGGCCATAAGTATGTTTGTAAAGGAAGTTTCAATTTCCCAAAATAATTTGATTACTAGACTACAAGTTTGGAATACCAAACACCACACAGTTAGTAGTGAACTCAGGACAGAAGGAGTAGCTGCATTTGCCACACAAACCTACCCACCCTCGAGATTAGGACAAAGAAGAGTAGACCCAACCAATTCTTAATTCAAAGGCAGGTTAGCCTACTGCACTGTGTGTGCTTTGGGGTTGTGTTGTTTTATTTGAAAAGCAACAGGCTCAGAACATCTGAGTGGCACAGGAGAGGTTACAGGGCTCACAAAGCCAATATGGGAATTTACTGAGGGGCTGTGTAGGTATTTAGTTAGTATGCATTAAAAAAATTAGGAACATCTACTTAATAGGACTTTTCCTACCTATTGTGGTATTATTTAAACAAAACAAGAATGCCTGGTATAAAACCTAACATGGCTTATGCCTCTATCCATGTTCTCTAGGCTGATAACATTCTCTGTCTCACCAGACCAAACTACTTCCTTGCTGACTTTAATACCCTCGAGGATTTAAATAATTACCAAAAATTTGAATTTTGCCATCCTTACTCCAAAAAAAAGCCCTATTTCTTCTTTAGCCTTCACTAATGCAGGAACTGTATTTGCCTCCTTCTCCTAAAACTCAGCTGCCCAGATGTTTTTCACAGAATCTCTTGAAAGTCATCAAGTTAAAGCTTTTCTTGAGAAGGGAGAAGTTGTTTCCAGAATCTCAAATTTCTACAGAGAACAGCTTGACTGCAGAATTTTTGTTTATGAGAAAATACTAACCTGAGCAAGTAAAGGAGAAGCACCTGTCAGTTTTTGGACAGTTTTCCAGGGAATCAGAGTCTTTGGGAGAGGTGTTCTAGTGACACCTCTCCAATATGCATTCAAAACTCAGACAGCTGGCAGGGCTGTTTTCTCTGTTTCAATACATCCACTGCAGTCTCTGTTCCAGCATTCCAGAGTGCAGGTGTAGGCTTTGAACCAAAGCAAATTTAGGCATCACTGGGGTGCTAAACTGTGTCACCAACCCAGAAAAGTCTCAGAGCAATTAACTACCAATCTGTTTCCCATGGCATGGGTTAGTGTTCTCATGGACTGTGATTAAACAGAATTTGACTGCAGATATTACAGTTCCTTGGGGTTGCTGGAATCCTTCCCACCTTGATCTGGTCAATGAACCGGGGTTTATCCACTGAGAAGAAAACAGCAGTGTGTTAGTAACCACCTAAACCACCACTTTGGAGGGCAGTAACTGCAGCGTGCCCTTGCACACATGGAAGCTTTGTCAGTAAAGAGCCAGAGCAGATCCCAGTTCTGACAGTGATGGAGGAAGAGAACAGAGTCTTTTATAATCTCATGAATGTTTCTGTGAAGTCAAGAGCAGGTGAATCTACAGAGAAGCTAAGTAAACATTCTTGAAATTGCAGCTATTCAACAATAAAACAGATGGCATCTTTGCTATCTACACAGAACTGGTGAATCACAAATGACTTGGAACATAGATATGTTCCCTGTATACTCACCATCAACATCCCAAACAAGTGCAGGGAATAAATGTGGAACAATAAAGCAATAGCTGGAATGACATGATGCAAATGAGCTGCATTTTTTCACCAGTGTACTCAAACAGTGAAGTGCAAAATGCTGCTGCAGATTATCATACTTACATCCTTCCTAGTCAGGTACAAGGTATGAAGTGAAGAAAAAAACACAAGTTGCATATTCTGGAAAACTTTCTGGAAGTGGGACCTTATTAGGCTGTAGAAATAACTTATAGTAGAGCAATGGGAATGAAAGTGGGCAAAATCATGAGTGAAAAGCATAGTAAGAAATAAGGACAAAAGAGCTCCATTCACATGATCCTGTGATAGAAAACACAGGGGTTTTGGATGCTGGATTTTTTTACAGAAATAAACTATTTCATGACAGCCGTTTTAGGCTCCTTTAAAAAGTTATTAATTTGATTTCTTTTACAATCATATCCTTGCCTCAACAATCAGGTGAAGACCTGAAATATGCATTGTCTTGACTGAAACAACAAATCCCCCAGCTGAAATGCTCTTAACCTGAAGATGTGTCATTGTCAGAACTAGAGTTGTTGCAGCACATGAAACACTAATAATTTAGAAAAAGGAGATGTGCAGAACAGCCCCATTTCAGATTTTCACCTATGGAAGCCTCTGCACAAAGCTGATGTGGGTCAGGATGACAATAAGGACACCTCCATAGGGTTTGGAGTAGCCCTGTGTGATCCAACTTGCATCCCTACAGCAAGGTGAGCACTGCAACAGGCAGCACAGCACCAGGTTTTGCTGAGAAAGGCAGGACTAGACAAAATAACAGCAGCAGCTCCCCTTATAAACAGTCATAATTAGCAGCAGTTTGCATTTCCAAGAATAAAAGAGCACAAAAGTCTCACAGCAGATCTCTGGGGAAGCAATCACTGCCCTGCACTGGAAGTACCTGTCAAAGCAGTCTGTGTGACTGTCACTGTGCTATGCATGAACCAAACCAGGGACCAAGGTCTCCCAAAACACATTTCATGCTGCATATCCTGCAGCTTCATCTTTGTGATGGATTTCTACTTGCACCTAAGCACTGAAGTAACCATTTTATTACCCATATAAAAATGAATATAAAATAATTACCTTTATAAAAGCTTTGGTTTTTTTTTCTTTTCAATTGTTATATACTGACCTAATATTCATGTCCCTTAAAAACATATTGCAGAGAAAGAAAATGAAATACCTAAATTATATGTCACTTTCTGTTGTCTGTGGCACATATATGCTACACTCTATAGACAGGTGCACTGGTAGGGCACAGAATAGCTGTAAAAACATTCTCTTAAGATTATAGGAAAACACAACAGCTGAGAAATCACCCAACACTGTATGTTAATGAATCAATCATACTTGAAATGAATAATTAGGAATATGTGCATTAAAGAGTTAAATTTGACTTACCAGCTTAGGCTATCCAAGGCAAAATGTAAACAAGTTGCTGGTAATTGTCCACTCTCTTCCTTCAATGAATCACATTAGCTTTGCTGTCTCTTCTGGCTCAGCCTCTGGGCAGAATGAGTAAATCTCTTCTTTACACTGCATGAATGATCAGATATGAAAAAGCCCATTACTAGTAATTACTGAAGTCCAAGATTGCTGCATAAAACCTCAGAGCAGAGCAGTATTTAAAGCAAGCAGTGCTGTATCACAGGTAGAATGTTTGGTGCCTTAACTCTGTCCCAGTTACCTGTGCAGATGTAGGAGTGAGTAATATGTGAAGCCTCCATGTGAGAGATGCCATGACTTCT